CCCGGCCGGGGAGCGGCTCCCACAGGTCTCCCCTGCGCCAGGGCCCCGCCTCCCCGCCCAGCACTCCCCGCTCGCCCTCCTACATGGGCCCCAAAGCCGTTGCCTTCATCCACTCGGACCTCCCGGAACCACCGCCCGCGCTGGCTGTGCAGAGGTGGGTGCTGGGGACTCTGCAGGCTTCCTGGCAGGGGGCAGTGTCTGGCTGGCTGTGGGACCTCTTGGCTGAGCGAGTGCGGGTTGTCCAGAAGGCCTGAGGCCACCTGTGGGGTGGACCTTCCCAGCCTGGGGGGTTGTGCCCCTTCAAGGACACCCTGGCATGTCCCAGGGTGTGGCACGATTTGCATATTAGCCTAAAGCTCCACATTCCCGCCAAGCTAGCACAGACCCCTGCCTGGGGTCCCCCAGGCCTTTTTCCTCAGGAGATGGTACTGCTGTCCCTGCTCAAAGATGGGGACCTGGGCCCAGAAGGGCAGGCGGGCCAGGCCCCCAGGGGACATAGCATCTTCGGGGCATCACCCACTGCCTTGAGCACAGGCCAGGGCAGGGAGTCTCGTTGTGGGTGTAACAGGTCCAGCAGGTGGCAGCTGCAGAGGCAGGGATGGCAGCTGAAGGAGGGAGGGCCTCCTGCCCTCATGACTGGGCAGCAAGGTCACTGCTGGGCAGCCTTTGGGGCAGGAGGGAAGCCCCTCGTTTTCCCAGGAGGCAACAGGGAAGGGCTGCACAGGCATCACTGGGCTCCCCAGCTCAGGGCACCAGGACCGGGCAGAACCTAGGGCTTGGCTGATGGTGTCTACCTGGCCGCCCCATGCGTATGGTCTTGCCAGTAGGGGGACTAAGGATCCTCGGGGTGTGACAGCTATTCTGACGTCTGCCAGTCCTGTGACAGCACAGCCCTCCCCCTATGGGCTCGGTGTGGCCACCCGTCTTCTGGGTGGCACCTTCTGAGCTCAGAGGCGTGGCTAGCCAGGGCTTCGTCTGCATCATCTGTCCTGTTGCCTCACTGGCCTCTGTCCTGCCATGGTCGGTCCCTTGTTCACCGTGTGTCTGCATGTATGTGTTTGCTTTGATGCAGGGACCACCCTCAGCTGAAGAACCCCCCAAGTAAGCTTAACGGGCAGTCCCCGGGCCTGGCCCGCCTGGGACCTGCCGCCGGCCCCCCAGGGCCCTCCACCAGCCCCGCCCGGCACACACTCGTTAAGAAGGTGTCTGGCGTGGGTGGGACCACGTACGAGATCTCCGTGTGAGGAGTGACAGCCACCCATCCGCTGTGGCACCACGGGGACCAGGACCCCCCAGCGGCTGCCCCCCACCCCCCGACTTCTCTGCCCCGACAGAGGAGGAGGCCCAGCAGGTGTGGACGCATCAGCAGGAGGGAGAACCACGCCTCCACGTGTCTGTCCCTCGGTCTCCACCTGTCCATCCACTTATCTGCTCACCAGGGCGCGGCCAGGCCAGGGGCCACCAGCTCCAGGATCTGTGTTGGTGCCCTTGCTCCCATAGGCTGGGCCTCGAGGGTCACGGACTGCATCTGCGTGGACTGCACCCATGTCCCCCTGATTGTCACCAGGCCAGCCCCCACCCAGGCCCTTTATAGAAGGGTCACTGTGGCTCAGAAATGGACAGAGGGGCCTGGGTCCCTGGCCATCCTCCGGACTGAGGGCCCACCGCCGGGCTGACCCTAACCGGCCGCCTTTCAGGGACCCGCTGGAAACTTCTAGTGTGGTGAGGCCGCTGCTTCTGTGGGGAAGGCCAGCCCTGGCCCGTGGCCACCGGCTCCAGGGCGACTCTGGGTTTTGACAGGTGGATGGACAGACGGACAGACTGCCAGCCGTGGGTGGGGTCCTGGCTCCATGTGTCCCGTCTCGCCCAGCTGGTGGGCGTGTCCCCGTGTCTATGCGCTGAGCTGCCATGCCACGCCCCATGTGTTCAAGCTCGGGGCCCTGCGGCCCCACTGCCGGGAAACGCGCTGTCATTGAAGCCTTAACCTCTGCTTTATGCTCTTGTGGTGGCACCGGGGGCAGGTGGGAGCAGGCACAGGCTGGACGCTGCGACAGGGGCCTCTGAGACCAGGAGTCCCTGCCCTGCCAAACGAGATTCCCTACCCCAAGGCATGCAGAGTCGGGGCGCCAGAGCCCCGGCGTCTGCGTGGGAAGCACATGGGGAGGGGGTCAGAGCTCTGCCTGGCGCCAGGGACCCGAGAGTAAGCACACAGCAGCGTTTGCTTGCGTTGTGTCTGTTTTATGTTTTTATATCTACATCTATATATCTATAATTTTATTAAAAAAAGAAAAAGAGTCATTTTGATCCTTTCCTTGAGCAAGGCCAGGGCTGTTGCTGATACTCAGGGGCTCTGGGGCGGGGTGGGCGGGGGGAGAGCCACCAGGCTCCAGGAGAGGTGGAGGCCGGCAGTATGGGATCGGATGTTCCGTGTGGGCATTTCTGCTGATTTAAGCGGAGTTGGAAGCCTGGGAGGTGGGGGCTGGCCCACGGGTCTTTGGCTGACGAGCGTGCGGCTCCCCTGGGTCTGCGTCATTCCTGGCAGTGACAGGGCTTTTGGAGAAAGACTGGGGCTGCAGCTGCCCCCAGGCCCCCCAGGAACCCAAGGGCTCGCAGGAGATGGAGGAGGGGATGTACCCGGGGCCACCCGCTGGCTGGGGGCACTGCGGTGGCTGTTGCCATGACCTGCAGCTGCATTTACTGGCCCTCCACCTCTGCCTGTTCAATGTGTGTGTAGGGGGAAGGCATCGGGAACGCACTGCTTTTCAGGACTCACAGCTGGGCAGAAAGGGGGAGGCCGGGTTGGCCCCCTGTGGGGGGTACCCCAGACCTTGGACCCCTGCACTGGTCAGCCTCATGCTGACCTCCACCTTTCTGCTTCTCTCTCATGGGACGCTGCGGCCCGCAGGGGGCGGATCGGCACTTATAGCCATGGATGGGGGCGTCGTGGCCTGCCCAGGGTGCCCCCCGGCCTGCACCTGTGCCGCCTTGGCCTCCCTGAGGACCGCCCACTGCTGCAGGTCCCCTGGAGCCCAGCTGCTGGGGTGCTTCCCCGAGGAGCTGTGTGCCGCCTGCACATGGCGGCCTCCAGCCTTTTCCCCCGCCTCTCGGGGCCTGCGCGGGACACCAAGTAGGCACCTATGGGAGAGTAGGGAGGCCAGGCTGCCACGGACCCTGGGGGTGTGGGCTGAAGGGCCAAACCTTGACCGACTCCCTACCCACCGGGGTCCGTGACCAGGTGCCCACCCACCTCTAGAAGTTCCCATCCGCTGCAGGGGGTCCAACACCCCAGGTGGGGGCCCTGGAGCTGCTGGGACCTGCACGGCCTTCCTAGGGTGTCACGCCATCACCTGACCTCCCAGCTGACCAAGCGCTTTAGACGCCACTTCCTCCCCGGGAAGCCCAGGCCTCTGTGTCAGGCTGGGGTGGGGGTCTCAGGTTGCCCGCAGGTCACTGCAGTCCCCTCCCTGAACCCAGTGCAGATGCCTTAATGTCCTGGAGCCACCAGTCTGCTGAGCCGTCCAGGCCCTGCCTGGGCAGGAGGAGACCAGCCGCCCAGCCCAGTGAGCCCGCTCTGCCCAGGCCCTGCCCGCAGTCTCCACTCCTCCGCTCTGAGGTGGGCACTTGGGCGCTTGGCACCTTTCCCTGCTTCAGCAACAGCTCTGCCTCTCCCACTTGGGGGTGAGCAAGCCACAGAGCTCCTATTCTAGAAGGTATTCCCTGCCCCAATTCCATGCCCTAAATAAAATGTTTGGTGTTCACCTCCATAGCTCTCTCCACCAACGTGGTTCCCTGTCCTCTGAGCCTTGGTCAGTGCCAGGAGGCTGGACTGGACAGGGACCCTGGGTTGAGGAGGGCGCAGGAGTGGGGTGGGCGGTGGTGGCCGGGTGGGTGTGGGGAGCGTGGGGGAGTCTACTGGACAGGGACTGGAGTCATGTGCGAGGTCTGAGGTTCAGGCTGAGAACCCGACCCCTGATGAGGGTGGAGGCCTGGGGATACCCAGTCCTCACCCAGTGGAGACCCTCCTGGTCACACTATTTGCTCAGGGCCCTCTTGGTGCCAGGGGTCAACCTGGGGGCTGGCTGTGGAGGGGCTGCCATCCAGCAGGCAGGTGGGGCATGAAGGCCGAGGTGGGGTGCCACCCTGAGGGACCCCCACTTTAAGATTAGCTTCAGGATGCAGTCAGGTTCCCCCCATCTCCATGGAGACAAGCTCAGACGCTGTGTGTGTCACCACTGTATGTCCAGCCGCAGGCCCAGCCCTCCGGACAGACCCCGCCGCCACCCTTCTCTGAGGCTCTTGGCAGGACGGTGTGCACGGCAGTGTTGTGGGCAGGGGCAGGCTCGGCTGCTGGGCACCCGGGGCCGCGCTGGCCGCCTGGCCTCCTCCTC